AAGAGTGAGCCCACGGCGTGGGAACCTCTGGGAAAAGGGAGGGATCCCGCTAGGAAAGCGGCTTTGAGGCTGGAAAGGGGGCTCCTAAGGAGGGGACAGGTCACCACCCTCTGCAGGTGGGAATGGGAAGAGCTGTGCCCGAGGGAAGGAGCTGGGAATGTGCCAGCCTTGCTCTGCAATTCTTACCTGCAGTGGGACCTGGCGCTGCCCACACCTTGGGAATTTGTGGAAGAAATTTTTCCCTGTGAGGGTGGGGAGGCACTGGAGTGGATTTCCCAAACAAGCTGTGGCTGCCCCATCCCTGGAAGTGTTCAAGACTAGGTTGGATGGGCCTTGGAGCAATCTGGCATGGTGGGAGATGTCCTTGCCCATGGCAGGGGGTGGAATGGGATGATCTTTAGGGCCCTTTCCAACCCAAACCATTCCAGAATTCCATGTCTGATCCCTTCAGGTGCCTGACGGAGGTTTCCCAATTCCTCTTCCTTTGGCTGGCATTCCAGCCTCCAGTGTACCAGTCTGAGCCTGAATTTAGGCTTCCAGCTTATCACTGGACCAGCTCTCCCTAGGTTTGGCTCTGACTGGGATGTCTCCCTTCTGAATTAAGTGCTTTTTAGGGATTCAGGCTCAGGGGTGGGGCAGCAGCTTGGGCCCCCCAAATCCTTTCCCGGTGCTGGAGGAGCCATGGAAAGCTGAGGCAGCTGGAGGGGGAGATTTTTCCGAACATCCAGAGTGCAGGAGAAGCCTCTCCATTAGGGAATGATTTTTAGTGAAGGTTTGAGTGATGCTGTTTCTCTGCAGAGCTGCAGCAGCTGCTCCTGCTGGGGGGACACTGCCAGCTGCTCATCCCTGCTTTGGGAGCTTCCCAGGGGCTGGGAATGACATGGAGGGTTGAGCCAGGAGGTGTTGGCTTGGGGGACATGGGGGAAGAGCAGGTTTCTGAGGAGTCCTGCTGGGATAATGAAGGATTTGAGGAGCTGGAACAGTCTGGAGGCACTGGATTAGCAGCGCTTTGGTAGGAGGTGATGGAGGCTGATGCCTCCAGAGAGTCGCGGGCGGGAATCATGCTGGGAAGGGAGGGAGGGAGAGAGGGAGGGAGGGCTGGGAAGGCACTGCCACCATGGGGATGGAAGCAAACACAGGCACTTCCTGCTTGGTGACATGGGGATGGGGGACAGGGATGCCTGTTGGTGTGGTTTTTAAAAGCGCTTCCCAAATTCTGGAGGGGAAATGTGTGGAATTACGGTCGGCTGCACAGAGGGAGCAGCCTTGGCTTGTGCCAGGGAAGGTTTAGATAGGGTATGGAGGCAAACTCCTTCATGGAAAGGGTTGTCAGGCATTGGAACAGGCTCCAGGGATGGAGTCCCCATCCCTTCAGGGGTTTAAAACCCATGTGGATGAGGCACTTGGGGACGTGGGTTAGTGGTGACCTTGGAACAGTTGGATTCCATAATCTTGGAGGGTTTTTTCCAACCTCAATTCTTCAGTAATTGATATTCCCTAGAGAGTGAGAGACAGTGAGTGAGGTGCTGGAATTTTTTGCCCTGGAGGAAATGTCGGGATAACGCTGTTGTCCACCTTTCCCTGGTGGCCTGTCCCCTTTGAGAAAGACAAAAGCACCTTCCCAAGACACTTGTTGCTGTCTCTCCTTGGAATTCAGCCAGCTGGAACAGCCTGTGCCTGCTCCAGGGGTGATGGAGCCCAGCCTGGTGTTTGCAGGGGTTGAGGAGAGAGGAGGTGGTTTGGATAACCTGGATGCTGGAATCCCTGCGCCAGGGAGACTGCTGCACTCCCAGCCTTGTTCCAGCTATTTCCCTATGATTTATTGTAATCCTAATGGAGCAGCTGAGGGAAATTGGCAGGGTTGGGATGGAGGAGGAGAGGGGCTCGTTACCCTGGGAGTAACGGAGCGTCTGACTCCGACTGGGAGCCCAACAGGAGCAGGATTTCGGAGCAGCGGGATTGGATGTGCTGCGCCTGGGGGCGGTGGCAATGACAACAAACTGAATAATAATAAAAAGCTTCCCATGTTCCCAGCTATTCCTGGAGCCTTGTTCCCTGTCCAAATTCCCTGGAGGAGGGGTTGGTTTGCTTTTCGGTTTAGGAGAATCCTTAACCCTGGAATCTGTTGGCTTTTTTTCAGGACACCCAGCTGGATGGGCTCTTTGTTGATGGAATCCTTCCTGGCACATTCCAGGGATCTCCAGAGCTCCAAGGCTGCCTACAGTGGTCTGGAGTCTTCCTGGGAGCTGATATGTAGAATTCCAAGCCTGTGGTGTGGAACAGCCCCGTGCCATATCCATGTGTTGAGGAATGATGCTCCAGCTGGAAGAACACCACAGAATTCCCTCTCCCTCATATTCCCAGGTCATTCCTGCACAAAGAGCACAGATCCACCCAGAGGTGAGTAGGGAATAACAATTCCTTAAGCCACTGGGGCCTTTGGAGGTTTCCTTGTGAAATGGCTGCTGATGCCCTGATGGAGATGCTGCATCTGAGTTATCCAGAGGGATAACCCAGCTGGTGGATGCCTGGGATGCTCTAACTCTCCCTTACATCCCTGTAAAGGTGTAGGATTCCCAGGAATGTGTGTACATCACCACACCATTTCCCCAGGCGTTTAAACCCAAACTCAACCCTTTCCCACAGGCTGGGAAGCTCTGAAATGAATGGATTTGCTCCAGAGGTTGGAGGTGGGGACAGATCCATGCGAAAATCATGGAAAATTATGTCTTTTGTGACAGGCTCAAATTAATTCCTTAATTCCCTTAAATGCTTCGCCACCCGCCCTCCGTGTCATGACAGCGGGGAAAAAAAATGGGATTTCTGAGGGCATTAATCCTCCCCTTAATGCTTTGGAAGGCATCCAGTTTATCCAAAACATTCCAAAATTTCCTGTAAAGGTGTCAGTGCCATACAGGAGTCAGGCAGCGGAGCCCTGGGGATCACTGGGAAGAATCCCGACCCTGGAGCTGGGCTATGAATGCAGTCTGGCCCTTGCAATTCGGTGGAGCCAGGCTGGAAACGGGCAGCTGGAGCTGCTGGAAGGCAGAAATCCTGAGCTGTATCGGATTAATCGCCTTGTGTCCCTTAATTGGCAGGATCAGGGCTGGGATGTGCTCTATACCGCGCCTTGGAAAGCCTCAGACGGCTTCCGATTGTATTTTCCTGAATAAAAGAGTAATTTCCAGTCTTCCTGAGCTTCTTCCCTCTGTCTGCTCCAGGTTTTGGGGCTTCCAGGGGTGCCTGCCTGGCCGGGAGCGGATCGTGAGGAAGGGAGACCTTGGAAGAGCCACAGGCTGGATGAAACGATTTGTTGGAATGCTAAATTTGGCAGCAGCTTTTCATCCAAACCGGAGCCACTTTGCACCTGTCTGGGAAGATAAAGGGACTCGGAATGAGCGTGAGGGGGATTTTTCTGCCTGAACAGGATACAAAGGCCTCGGCACAAATGAATTCCGGAGCTTCAAAGCCTTTCCTGAATGTTTTTCCACCCCTGTCAGGCTGTTTTATTTCCCAGGTAGGGTGATATCACCCAGCAGACCATTCGAAGGCTGCTCCACTTGCTTTAAGGAGGAATGTGCTGCTATTCCCTGCTGGATCAGCTTTTCTGGGACAGAGATTTTTTTTTTTTTTTTTTTTTTTTTTAATGCCTTTTTTTTTTTTTTTTTTTTTTTTTTTTTTGCAGTAGGAGCATCTAAGTTGTGTCCTTGGATGATGGCAGCCGCCGTGTTCAATGGGAATCGCTGTCCTTCCTCCCAGACGGGATTGTTGTTGTGGTGTGTCCATCCTCGCCAGGGTTTTTTTGGGAAGAGGGCGATTGGTTGGAAGGGACCTTCCAGCTCATCCAGTTCCAGCCCCCCCTGCCATGGGCAGGGACACCTTCCACTATCCCAGGTTTCTCCAGGGCTGGTCCAACCTGGCCTGGGACTCTTCCAGGGATGGGGCAGCCACAACTTCCCAGCAAAATCCATTCCAGGGTCTAACAATTTCTTCCCAGTATCCCATCTAACCCTGCCCTCTGGCAGTTTAAAACCTTTCCCCCTTGCCTTGGCACTCCAGGCCCTTGTAAATAGTCTCTTCTCCATCTTTCTTATAGGCTCCCAGCGAAATCCATTCCAGGGTCTAACAATTTCTTCCCAGTATCCCATCTAACCCTGTTCTCTGGCAGTGGGAAGCCATTCCCTCTTTTCCTGTCACTCCATACCCTCGTGAACAGGCTCTCTCCATCTTTATTGGGAACATTTTTTCCTGAGAGGAAAGCATTGCTTGAAAGCAGCGTGCCAGACCCGTCTCCATGAGGGAGACCGCAGTGCTGTGCTGGGAAGTTTTCCAGAGGGAAGGGATGTTGGGAGAGCCCCAGGTGTGGCTGAGGGGAGATTTTATTGCTCCCTGAATTCCCTGATTGCGGGGGAGGCAGGTTGGAGCCGGGCTGTGCTCCCAGAGAACAAGGCATGGGACAAGAGGAAATGGCCCCAACTTGTGCCATGGGAAGTTCAGGTTGGACACCAGAAGGAATTCCTTCATGGAAAGGATGATGAGACACTGGAAGGGGCTGCCCAGGTAGGTGGTGGAGTCCCCATCCCCGGAGGTGTTTAAGGAGTGACTGGATGTGGCACTCAGTGCTCTCTGGGTGGTGACAAGGTGGGGACTGTCACAGGCTGGACTCGGTGCTCCTGGACGTCTTTTCCAAGGGAACTGGTTCCTGTGGGACCCTTCCGTCATTCCAGTGGGATTTTTCCATGATGATATCGGTAGGGCAGGTGAGCACCGGCCCAGGAGAGGCCCCTGCCCGCAGCAGGCGGCGTTCCCTGGATCCCAGCGACAATTCCCCGCTGGAATCCGCGGCCGGCCCGGGATTGCCCCGCCCCGTGGCGCTACCGCCGGGCGCCACCAGGCGGCGCCGCCGCGCCCCGCACCCCTCGTTGCCGTGGCGACCGCAGGTTGCGTAGCGGCCCTTACGCAGTTGACGCAGTGGGCGGCCCCGGCGAGGCGGGGGCGGCCCCGGCAGGGCGGAGGCGGCGTTGGAGAATCGGGGGCCGCAGGGCCCCCGGCATGGAGGAGGCGGCGGCGGCCGAGGCGCTCCCGAGGCGGCGGCGGCGGGAGCGAGGTGAGGGACGGCGATGGGAACGGCGCGGCAGCGGGGGCCGGCGCTGCGGCAGGTGCGGGGGAGCCGGGAGGGCGCTGGCAGGGCCGGGGGTGCGCCCGCCGCCGACCCCCGCCCCGCTGGGCTGCAGGCCCGTGCCGCCCGAGGGGTCTGGATCCCGCAGGAAGCGCGGCGTTCCCGCCGGGAGGGCCCCGCTCCATGTGGCCTGCGCCCCCTGGGAAGCGGTGGGCTTCCACCTGCGCCTCTGGCAAGGCGCCATCCTGCCCCGGGCAGGTGCGAGGCGTGAAGGTGATCCCGCCGTTTGGGATTCGGGATCGTGCGGCGGGAGGCGGGAGCGGTGCTGCTGGATGTCCAGGGAGAAGAAGCTTCGGTGTGGGTGTGACACAGGGATTCTTGCTCCCAGCTTTTATTACTTCCCGCAGGGAATGGTACCTGACTTGAGCAACGCGGGCGGATGCTGAGCCGTGGCCGTAAAATTCCCAAATTTAGGATCGCAGGCAGCTGCAGAAGCGAGATATCCTTATAAAAGTAAGGGAGATGTCGCTCCGAGATCTTGGAGCTGGGATGCTGCCAGGCTGCTCAGCCAGAATTCCCGCTGTGCCCAATTCTGGGAATTAGTACCTGCTGGTGTATTTGGGACAGGCTTCAGTTGGCACTGGGAGTATGGGAATGGAGATTGCCGAGCCTGGTGCACGCCGTGGTCCTTAGAGCCTGCTCCAGGTGGGAAATCACACAGTGATTCACCAAGGTGGGATATAGAAGCCCGGGACATGAAAACAGCAAAACTCTGGGGAATGGTTTTAAAGGAAAGGAGTATTCCAAGGTGGGAATATTCATCTCCCCCTGGATGAAACTTAGTGGGGATGAGTTGCTGCAGCCTTCTGGCTGGAGAGGGAGAAGCATCCGAGTTTTTGTGGTCAGGCTGAGTGTTCTTAAATGGGAGATAATGAAATTGTGGGAAGTGGCTCTTGGAAAGCTTCGGACTCTCCGTGATTCTGGCATTGGCTTGGCTGAAGTGTGTATCCTGTGGACGCTGCTGGAAGAAGCTTTCCAAGTTGGAAACCTGAGCTGGGGGAAGGTGTTTGTTGTGCCAGGTGTTGGTTTTCAGGGTCATAAAAGTTGCACGGGGGTCTTAAAACTGCTGGGGAAATTCCAGCCGTGCCAGCTTGGAGTGGGAATGGCTGAGGGGGTTGGGAATGCCCAACAGGGACAAGAGACTTGGAAAAGCATCGGTTACGTGGTAAATGATACAAATAACCTGGAATTTCTGCAGCCAAAACCCTTCAGCAAGGAGCAGGATAAAATTCCCCCTTTAAATGGGAATTTAAATTGGAAATTTGGGAGTTGGCAGCTCTGCTCTCCAAAATTTTACTCTGGAGGGTCAAAATCAGGGATTTAAGGATATGGACTATGTACTGCAGGTACTGACTTTGTCAGTGCTGACCTAAAAATATCCTGATTTGACCCGAATTCCCATTTAAATTAAGGCACTGGGCACTTTTTGCCTGCTACCTGCAAAGCCAGATCCAAATCCTGGAGACAGGGAATGCTGTAAATCCCTCTGTGGTTGCTGGGAAAAGGGTGGTGAGAAAGGGAAACTTCTCTGGGCTGTGTCCACCCGTTCCCTTTCCAGAGGGCTGGGAAGGAGCAGTTGTGCAATGATGGGATTTAAGGGAAGTGCTGTGCCAGGAGGGAAAGTGAGAAGGGTGGAAATGCTCCTCCCAATGACCAAAAATGTGAGGAATAAAAAAAAAATCCTACGTTTTGGAAACTTTGTTAAAATTCCCTGGACAAAGAATTACAGCAACCAAAAAAACCCCACTGCTTGGGGGTTGTTTTTTTTTTTTTTTGAACTTTGTGTGGGAATCTCAGTCCTGCTCCTTCTGCTCTCCCTCCCCTTGGAAGTTAATTAATTGAGAGCTGGCTGCTCCAAATGAGGTCACTTGGATTTCGGAGCTGCCGTATCATTGTATGGATTTGCAAAATCAGGATTTGCAGCTTGTGTGCCTTAGAAATTTTTCCTTAAAGTGGCATAATCTTGGTTTTTGGGAGTCTTTTCCAGGCAGCTGGAAGCATGGTAGGGAGGAGAAGTGTTCAGATTGGAGGGTGTAAAGCTTGGGAAGCTGCTCAGTTTTGGATGGAGAAGAGTTTGGAGAAGCTTCCAGTCATTCCCAGGCCTGGCTGTCTTTTATGAAACTTCCTTGGACTAAACCAGCAGGAATTCTCTTCTGTCCCAAACATCCCTATCCTGTCTGAAGACTTTCTTTTGGGGAATTAAGCCTTCATACCTCCCCTCGACCACGCAGCTTTTTTCTGGGGAGCCTGCAGCCTGCTTTTCCTCCCCTCCCATTCCATCTTTCCCAAATAAATGACCCTTGGTTCCACCTCTGCTCCCAACAGTGATCCAGCTGATGAATAAGAACATCCCAAGCTCGATTGAGCCCTGGAGTTTGAGGAATTTCCAGTTAAAGACACAGCAGTTGAGATGGGGTGAGTGAAACCATTTTAATCTGCTCTTGGAGCTGCAGGGCTGGAGTTTTTCAGGAGCTGGGAGCAGATGAAAGTGGCCTTTGTGCCATGGGAAGTGTGACAAATGGACTTTTGTGGGATCTGCGGAGAGCGACGGGATGTTTATTCCTGCTGGGATAGATAGGAGTCAATCAGGCTCTTCATTCCAGGCTAGTTGGAGCTGATATTTTTGTTATTTCATGCGTGATATTGTTGATTTAGGTGTGTTTCTATACATTATTGTGTGGATTTTTAAGGAGAAATCAGGGAAAAAATCCTGGAAAATTTGCCAGGTGCAGCACCTGCCCAGCTTGGAACTTTGAAAATGGAAGAAATTAGAATATTCTTCCAGGCTTTGGTAAAAAATGGGAAAGTTTGCCCTACTGAGGAATATCCTGCCCTGGAATATGGACAAAAATGCTGCTGGACCCTAGCAGGGATTTTGGATACAGGAAGTAATTCCCACAGAGTTTCAGGAAAAATGTGCCCTGGACCTTCAGGCATTCCTTCTTTCTCCTTTCCTTGCTTCCACTCTTTCCAGTGGAAGGCACATGGATCCCTTACCTCTGGATTTCTTTGGAAAGATGAAATAAAAAAGCTTTGGATTATTTTCCTTTTCATTGCAGCAGGAGCTGGAAATCTGCACGGCAGGCAGAGGCTGTCAGGAATTCTGTCCTGGGCTCTTAATCCAGGAGTTTCTTCTTTAATTCAAATCCTTCCTTAACTGCCCTTGTCCCTGAAAATCCTCATCCTGCCCCATCCATTGGCATTTCTCCCTCTCTTTGAGGAGCCTTCTGAGCTCCTCTTCAAAGATCTGTGGCAATTCCTGGCTTTACATTCCCTTCCAGCTGAGATTTTGGTTCCTGCCTGTTCCCTTGGTGTGGAATTAAAACAAGTGGGTTCTTCAGGGCTGGCTTTGAGCTCAGTAGGAATCTTCCCCTGAAAACAGGATACAAGATGTAATTTAGAACCTTCAATTCCAAGTTTTCCTGGTGTTTTTCACTTGCCATTTCAGGAGTCAGAGGCAGATATCCCAGTGCAATTCACTCATAGCCATCAGTAGATATGGGAATGCCACCTTAAATGAGCATTTTCCACGACTTTTTTTCCTCTGGAACATGTTTCCTTGGGATTTCTTGGCCTGGAGGTTTTACTATCCCCACAGATCTGAGTGATCTTGATTTTACATCCAGGCAGGCTGCAGGACAGGATCCTTATCCTTGTTCTTTTGGAATAAAATGCTGAATCCCTCAGGCCACCTTAAAACATTTGAACTGGATAATGGGAAGAAACAGGAAAATTCAGGACATTCCTATTATAGTTCATTGCACCAAATAGAAAATGGGGAGGTTGGGATGGAATTCAGCCCTTTCTTTCCTGAAAGGTGCTTTTCTTCCCTGGAAGGTTCCCATTTGGATGTGTCCTGCTGCTCCATGTCTGTTGGAATTTGGAATTTTCACAGTTCTGCATTCTTTGGGGTGAAATTTATTATTCTGTCATGGCTTGTCTTTGCAGCCCATATCCCTGGTGTTGACACAGCCTGGATGTATTTTTGGAATATGGATGTCAGCTCCAAACTGGGAGCCTCTGGAGGCTTGGCTTTTCCCATTGGGTCTGCTAAACGATCCTGCAAATTGGTGCTGTTTTCTCCTGTGGGAAATGAACTGTTCCACCTCCCAGAAAATCAGAACAAGGCAGGTGCTGCTTAGGAGCTTCCAGCATCTCAGTCAGCTGGGGGTTGTCCTGAAAAAAAGTTTATCCTGCTCTGCTTGGATCTCATTATTAGAATCCTGGAACAGTTTGGGTTGGAAGGGGCCTTAAAACTCACCCACTATCCCAGGTAACTCCAAGCCCCATCCAACCTGGCCTTGGACACTTCCATGGATCCACAGCTTCCCTGGGCACCCTATTTCTTGGTGATATCCAGATCCTATAAATGTTCTTCATTTACCTCTGGGCCACGTTTAACCTTTGGAAGCACATTCCCCTTTTTGTGACTCCGGGTTTTTTCCGTCTGATTCAGTTGTTTGTCACCATCTCCATGGCACCAGAGCATCCGCTAATGACAACCAGCATTTCCCTAAATGAGAGCATTCAGGGATGAACTGGATTTTTCCTTGGAGAGGGGAAAACATATGCCCTGTCAGAGGAAGAAGAAAAACTTCCCATAAAAACAGGAATTTGTGATTTGTGCTGCTCATTTTCTTCCCTGGATAGAGTAGGGAATAAGGGAAAATTTCATGGAGAGATTCTGTGCTCTGTGAGATTGCTGTTCCCTCTACCTTTGTCAGTTCTCCCTTATTTTCTAGTGGAAAAAGAGGCATCCATATTCCAAAACTGGAAGGATTAGAGCTTTCCTCAAAATTCACTGATAAATCCAGGGGCAAAATTCCCTTTGTGGAATTGTGGTGTTAAAACTTCTGCGGGAAGCCACAGGCTGCTTTGTCTGGAAAACCTTCTTCCCTCTAAATTTTGTGGCTATTCCTGGATCAATTTGTTGCTTTTGGAAAAGAGTCTTTTGGCCCTTAAAAAAAAAGAAGGGATGCCATTTTCTCCCTGAGCTTGTTTGAATACCTCCAGTGCCATAATCAAATTTAGCTCAGTAGGAAATGGGCAAATCCCCAAATCCAGTGTTATCCATGGTTATTCCAAGGCCTGATAGAGCCTGAGATAAAGGAATTTGTTGCATGTAACTGTTTGCCTTATGGAATCCCAGCTGGCAAGGAGAATTTTGGAACTCTCTGGGGCCTTGCTCTGACTTTGTGTTCCCCTTGGATGAGGGCGGAGGAATGAGGAGAGGCGAGCTGGGAGGTGGGAAAAGCACGTGGGAAGCTGCAGAAAATGCTCGGGAATGGGCGGCTGAGTAAGTGTGGAGCCTCCTGGGAATACTGGCAGAGTTGGTGAAATTCCCTTGTGAGGTGGGGAGCAGGAATTTGGGGAGGGAAATCAGGAGCATGCCGATGTTGGAAGTTTCTCTGTTATCTAACGTGTGAGTTTGCAGGATGTGTTTTATTCTGGAGAAAAAGGAGGACTGGGGGAACTTCTCATTCCCTACAGCTCCATGCCTGGATGGGGGAGCCAGGTGGGATTGGGCTCTTCTTCCAGGGAACAAATGACAGGACAGGAGGGAGCGGCCTCAAGTTGCATCAGGGGAGGTTTAGGTTGGATATTGGGAATAATTATTTGTGGAATCAGTTGTAAAGCACTGGAAGATGCTGCCCAGGGCAGCAGGGACTGGTGGAGTCCCCATTCCTGGGGATTTAAAATCCTTGTGAATGTGACACTTTGGGGCATGGGGCAATCGGTTGTAAAGCACTGGAAGATGTTGCCCAGGGCAGCAGGGACTGTTGGGAGTCCCCATTCCTGGGGATTTAAAATCCTTGTGAATGTGACACTTTGGGGCATGGGGCATGGGGTAGTGGGTTGGATTTGGTGATCCTAGAAGTCTTTTCCAATCTTAACAATTCCGTGATTCTCTATGTGCAGGCCAGGCACTCCTGAGGGATTTGATGTTCCCAACTTTTCCCATGTCCTTCATACCATAACCCATGTTTTGTGTCCATGTCCTCCTTGCATGTTTGCTCCCTGGAACGGCCTGGAACCCTGCTTTCCAGCCATTTCTGGGTAGGAACTCCAAGGATTTTCACATTTAGCCTTTATTCCTTGAGACACACGAGGTTTAGTTTGGTTCTCAGGGGGATAATCCTGCCAGATTTTCCTTCTCTTGGAGGGTGACAGGACAGGGAAGTGAACTTTTGGAATCGCAACATCCACGAGCCCAGTAAGGACCCACGGTTCCGGGTTTTTGGGATACACTGAGGGGAATTCAGGCAGCGGAACTGATCCGAGGTGGCTTTTAATGACTCCGGGCTCACCCAAATCCTTCTGGCTCAGGAGAGCGGAAGGGAATGCGCTGTGTTTGTTCACTGGATGCTCATCCCAAGGGTCGGATTAGTTCAGCGTTCCGTGGCAGCTCCAACCGGGTGGACGAGGTGCTGGGGAGGTGTCACCTGGGCAGGCTGAGGAAAAGGCGGAGTCGCCCAAGGGAACGTGGGAATCTCTCCAACACTGAGGATCCTGGACTGTCCTCAGCCAATTATCCTCTTAAAACCGTGGGATGTTGCGCAATGGACAAGTCAATCATCGGATATCCCAAGTTGGATGGAACCCACAGGGATCACTGGAATCCAGCTCCTGTTGTCCTTGGTGTTCCCAGCTGCCATTGTATTTATCTGTTGTTTTCCAGGTGCTCTCCTAATTTTTCTTTCCGTGTTAACTCTTAATTGAACAACACTTGGAAGCAGGATGTGTATTGAGGAGAATGAGGGGCACTTCCCACTGCTAAGAAATGAGGCTTCTCATTACAGAAAAGCCTAGCTGGGGTGGGGGTTTGGAAGACCAGATGGAATGGGAAGAACTCATCCTGGTTCCTGTTCCTGTAGCTGCAGGATTTTGCCTTTTGTGTGCCAGAGCTGGGAAATGCTGCCCTTTGGAGTGCAAAAAGCGTGGAAGGGTGTGGTCGGAGCAATCCGGAACCTTTTCACCTGAAAGCACCTGATTTATGACACCAAAATCCCAATGTTAACGTGGATTTGTTTGGCGAACTGCTCGGCTCTGAGTTCCCTGGGGCTGGGCCAAAACACTCCCTCCTGCCTGGCATGGAGAACACAGCCCTGGAGCCTCTGCTCTGGAGCACGGGGGCTCAACATTCCTGAAAAACAGTGAGTTGGCCTTTCCGTTCTTCCAGCAGGTGCTGTTTTGTTAATATTTAGGGAAGTTTGTTAGGTGGAGAGTGGGAGCAAATCCCCTTTTCCTTCTGGAATGCTTTCACCATTCCAGTGTGTCAGGGCCTGGAAGTTTTACATGGCTAGGATGAAAGCAGATGGATCTGCTGCCTCAGTGTCCAGAGGTAAAAGGTGCTGGGCCAGAGGGTGTGATACTGGAATTCCTGGTTGTCCAGGCCTGGAGAAGCAGATCCTGTT